GTTTTTTGGATCCCGAATTATAAGTATAAAATTAATAGCACGAGTGGCTTGTATATCACGTCACTGCCGATTTTTTGTGACATGACTTATCTACGTTATAGCACATGACTTTACAAAAATAAAGATTCCAAATTTTCAATATCATCCACAATATATATGAATCTTACATTTTTTATTATTAATCATACTTATGATTCAGTATGCTCATTAGTAAATTTAGGCATACCCAGATCAAAAACTAAATCAAAAGATAAGAAACAGAGGAAATCAAGTGTAAAGATCGAGAGTAGGGTAAAACGTTAGCTCATTAAATTTCCATTAATTTATGTGATTTAACTTTCTCTTTGTGTTTAAAGATCTCCAACTACAAGATTGATCAAGAGCTCGTGAACAAATCATAATTGATTTGGTCAAGATCATTAGAATAGCTTGCTTGAAATGTTAATGCATTCATATATAAAACTATTAAATGTGCTTTGTTATAGTATTTCTTGATTTTGACGCAGCAAATTTATTTTTATTTCGAACATCCTTTTTACACAATATGTCACATATCAAAAACTCGTATCATCAATAAAGGAAGTCATTCTAAATGAATAGCTTTTACCAAATTTTTTTCAAGATTTTGAAAAATCTCGTTTTGTCTAGAATGTTCTTTGGCGAAGGCTTATTTGAAAGATTACTTTTCAAGCCGACGAGTTTGCACGAGAAAAAGCATAATCAATACTGAGAGAATTTGACATCTAAAAAAAAAAAAATAACAAATTATTCCAAACCTTATCCCAGCCGATCTTTTGACGTGTCAGTAGGAGAGCACGCCTCATGTTCTGATAATTCAACATGAGATTCATTCAATGCATTTTGAGCCTCGTTCTCAGCTTTGCAGACTGATCCAGCATAAGCGACAGCTGTTGTGGCAGGGTCCTTTAAAATATTATAATGGATTTATATAATTATCTTAAACTTATTAAATTAGAATAAAGTGTTTATATATGAAAAATACTTCTGAATTCACTAATTTCTGTTTCTTGGATGGGCCATCGTCTTCGGCCGTGCGCTTTGTTGACTCATTATTGGGCCGATAATTATTGTAATAACGTTTTAAATTTCTTCTGGTATACTTATGTTTACCCATTACTTTTTATTTTTTTAAAAAAAAAACGTTGCAATCTCCTTAAATAGTTAAAATTTTTAATATGGAGTCAAATGATCGACTTACTTGATTTTTATATGTAAATTTAGGGAAAATTTTGCTTTCTGGGTTTATTTAATAATAAACAAGTTGTTGGTTTAATTTCTGGGTATTATTAACAAATTCCTAGCATACGAAGGTTCTTCTCACGAAATTTCAAGGGTGGCTTAAAATAAAATGGAAAGTAATCTTGGTCAACTATTACGGTTTTTGCTATTTGTTTATAAGTGACATATGTTGTTTAGCCAAAATAGGTAAAATATTCAAGTGGATGTTTATCATCACCTATTTTAAGGTCATGTACCCACGTGACGTTTTTTGTGTAAATCAACCAATCGGAATTGCGAATTTTGAAGTCAAAAAAATAAAGAAAACGCATAAATATAAAAAATGGCAATCTAAACACGTCTTGGAGCATTAATAAAAAATTTCGGGTAGGCAATTTTACTTATATATGCCTTTACTCAAGTAGACCCAACTCTAATTTTAATTAAAATCTCAAACTCACGTGGGTATATAACTTTAGCCATCCCTCTATTTTGGTTAAACAAAATATATCCCTTATAAACAGCAAAAATCGGCTAACATCATGATCAAGATTAGTTTCTATTTTATTTTAAAATTTTATGAAAAGAGAAATTAAATCAACAAATTTTTTATTATTAATTAAACCCAAAAAGCATTTTTTTTTCAAATTTTATATATAACAATTAATTTTATCAATTACTTGACTCTATATTAAAATTAACCTGCATAATATGTTATTTGATTGATAGTATAAAAATCTGAGGTTCTATTTTAAACCAATTACAATATAGGATTAATGATACTATAAGAAAGCAAATAGCTAGTTTTTTCAAAAAATTCCTATAACTCAAATTTGGTTTATAAAATTATTTTTTGTATACTAATTAAAGAAATTTTTACAAAACTTTGCTTATAAAAATACTTTTTTAACCCTATTCTAATGCTTATTTTTATCCTAATTATCTAAATAATACTACAAATAGAGCAATAGTATTCCTTAAACTATCAGAATAAGTATTCAAATTTGTATACTTAAAATTTAAAATAGTAGTTTATAATCTAATTTTTAAAATTTAAGATATTTACAAAAAAATTTATATAATAATATTAGAAAATAAGGATTATATAATAGTATATTTATTTTTAACTTATAAATAAATAAACTAAACTTAATAGACAATTCATTTGTCATTTGGAGAGAATTTGCAAATTTTATAAGTAAATTTTACTATTGAGTCAACTGTAGAGAAATTATATTTAAAACTTTTTCTTACTAAGTAAATCACTCTTGAGCTCATAACAAAAGTTGTAGAGCTTATCAAGATGCATCTAATAGTGGTAATAATGTTAAATTCAGCCTAGTAATTTCAAATGATTAGCAAATCATCTATTAACTATATGCTAAAAATATTAAAAATTTAAAATTTTTTTAAAAAATAAATTTTATTTTTATTCTTTGACAAACTTTTAAAAATTTAAACTTGCCTTTTTATAATCTTAAAACAAAATTATAAAATTAGTTTTTAAAAACAACTTTAATTAATAAAAATTTTTTAATTTTTAAGTAAAATTTTGACTTTAATTAGAAGCAAAAAGCTTATTAGAAGAAGTTGAATATATATATAAAGTTTTAAAATTTTTTAAAAAATTTTTATAATAAAAATTTAGAATTATTAATATTTAGAAGAAGTTGAATATATATGAAGTTTTAAAATTTTTTAAAAAATTTTTATAATAAAAATTTAGAATTACTAATATTTAAATTAAATTTTTTTAATACTATTTTTTTTAATTTGACAATCCTGCCTCTGTTTATTTAAGATTAAGCTATTTAAAAATTATATATTTCTATCTGTAGCTATTGCTAATCTAACTAAACTAGAGATTCACTCTTAGCTTTCACCTAGGTGCAACCTGCCTCAGTAGTTCTTGACCTCCCTCAAGATCCTTAACTCACTAAGGATTTATTTCTTTCGGTTACAGGCTGGTGACTACCTATCTTGTCAGTACTATCATTTAAATCTGTTTTAACTTTACATCTTACCTATAAAGACCAATCTGGTTTCTTATCATCCCAACTCAGTTTTTTATGTTTTTTAAATACTACTTCTCTTGCATGTTCCTTCTTCTTGTTTTTCTGCTCTCTTGTTTGTGCTTGATTTTCCTTATTTTTCTTATTTGCTTTTTCCTTTTCTTCTTTTTCTTGTTGACCTTTTTTGTTTTTTTATTCTTCTTCGAGATTTCTTTTCTTTTTTCTCACTCTATTTATAGCTCATATCTAAAGTTCCAGATGTGTTAATAGAATTTCTCACCCAACTTGTTAAGTGCTATACTTATTATTTTGCTAGCTGCTTTTCTGTTTTGGAGTATATTCACTAATCTAAACCTCTAATCATATGACTTCTTGTATCTATCTGTTTTGTATTAGATGCACCAAAAATATTTTCTTTAATTGTAGCTCTATTTGGTACTCTTTTAGCAAGTTCTTCTTTCTTTATAGTTTTCTCTATTTCATCACATATTTCTTCTTCTATTATGTTCTATATGCCTTGATAGTCTTCACAGCTTGTTAAATGGGCTATTGTTTCTAGTTTTTCTTGACAAGTAATGCACTTGTTAGTCTTGTATAGTTCTGGCCTTCTTGATTTGAGCTCTGTCATTGTTGGCAGTACTTCATTTAAACATTTCACCCTAAATGTCTATTTGTTATTTGTTTTACTATCTAAACAATTATTACCCTTAACTCTTCTATATATTTCTATGTTTCTCTCCAATCTAAACTATCATCTCTTTTCTCCGCTACTCATCTTTTCATTCTACTTAATCCTGCCCATTTTGCATCTAAAATCGCTGTTGTAATCTAGTTTACAAAACTTCTGATAGGCTTATTCACTATTAACCCTTTCCACCTAGGTATAACATATATTAGCTTAGTTATGATAGCTGTATTTTAATGATCTTGTTTGATCTTGCACCTTCCTTTGCAGCTTATCTGCCTCTTCATTCTCTTCTATTCCACTGTGTTCTTTTACTTTATGCAGTTCAAACTTCAATCACTTTCTTTTTCTTATATGCTCTATTTGTTCTAAAATATTTTTGTTTTTTATTTTGAGGTAGCTGTGTATTTTTCTTATTTCTGCCATTTTTGAACTGCTTGAATTTCTGCCTAGCTGTCTGTATATATCTTTATAAATGCTCTTTTTGGCAAGACTAAAAGAAAGTCAAGATTGTACCTAGCTCTGCCCTTGTTGATGAGGGTTGCCTATTATAGCACAACTAAAATCTGCTACCTTCTTTGATGATCTTTCCTCTTGCATTTGCAGAATCTACCCTACTTTCATCTTGGTTTTGCTTGCTGTTTCTTGTAGTTCTAGTAGTGAGTTATCAGTATATGCTTCAAATGTTTTATACTTTATAATGTTCTCTAAAATTGCTGTTAGCTCTACTACTGCTTCTGCTCCTTCTATACAACTTTGTGTTATTTCTTCAATAACAGAACCTATTCTTATCTCTGTTATTTGTCTTTCTGCTCTTCTTTTTACCTCTATTACTGCTTGAGGTTCTCTCATTCTCGCTAAGTTCTTCTATGGTACTGTTATCTTGTACATTGCTTGGTCTTCGTCATTGCTCTTTTTGATCCAACTACTGTCTAGTGCTCTTCTTATTTCTTTGAACTGCTTGTTGCTTCTTTTTATGCATCCTCTGCATGGATATAGAAATATTTCATCTGGTTTAGATGTATTATTTCTGTTCTAATGCTCTATCTCATATCTTCTATCTTCTTTTTTCTTTACTATTCTTCTAACTTTGGTATTTCTATTTTCTTCTTTGTAAATAATCTACTCCTGTCTTCTTTTATTACTGCTTATCTTACATAGCTTTGCTTCGATTGATTTGTAATTTTCTTGGCTCTGTAGAATTCTGTTTTTACCCTTCTATCATTTTCGCTTCAAGCACCATTTTCTCTAATTCCTGAAACCATCTTGTTTTTTTTTCTTGCTGTTACAACCTCTGAGTTTCTTGGTCTGGTTCTATTTGAGCAGTTTGTTTCCTTCTCTATTGAGTAATTGTTTGAGTGTAAAGATATTCTTTAAATTTTTATTTGTATAATTTTTTAAAATTACTTAAAATTTTAATAAGATTAGCTCCTCTATTTTTAAGCTTAAATAAAAAAATAGCATATAATTAATTAGTAATATATAAAATTTTTAATATAATTTAATAGTATTAAAAATATTTCTCAAAAGAGCAAATACATTCTAGATTTTAGTTTCAGAGGATAGAGCAAATAGACATCAAAAACAATTTATGCTACAAAATAGTTAGAGAAGCAAAATGATTAAAAATCAGCATTAGGTTATCAGAAATAGAAAGAAATTTAGAAGTTATAGAAGGTGAAACAGAAATAGCAGGCATATTAGAAAAGAAGTATAGACCAAGCTTCAGATAAGAAAAATTAATGAATATCTTTACACTCAAACAATTACTCAATAGAGAAGGAAACAAACTGCTCAAATAGAACCAGACCAAGAAACTCAGAGGTTGTAACAGCAAGAAAAAAAAACAAGATGGTTTCAGGAATTAGAGAAAATGGTGCTTGAAGCGAAAATGATAGAAGGGTAAAAACAGAATTCTACAGAGCCAAGAAAATTACAAATCAATCGAAGCAAAGCTATGTAAGATAAGCAGTAATAAAAGAAGACAGGAGTAGATTATTTACAAAGAAGAAAATAGAAATACCAAAGTTAGAAGAATAGTAAAGAAAAAAGAAGATAGAAGATATGAGATAGAGCATTAGAACAGAAATAATACATCTAAACCAGATGAAATATTTCTATATCCATGCAGAGGATGCATAAAAAGAAGCAACAAGCAGTTCAAAGAAATAAGAAGAGCACTAGACAGTAGTTGGATCA